AGGTCATATAATTTTTATTCCCAATACGTCATCTAATTTCTGAGATAAAGCTTTGAGAAATAGGCCAAAAAATTGACAAAATTAAATCNTGAGAAATAGGTCATATAATTTTTATTCCCAATACGTCATCTAATTTCTGAGATAAAGCTTTGAGAAATAGGCCAAAAAATTGACAAAATTAAATCATATGATTTTTTTTAAGTAGGTATGTTTATGTCATTAAAAAACATTCGTTTTGATTTACAGTTAGAGCCTTATCCACGAATTGACAACTCGCAAGAAAGATCTTCTCTATTCCTCTGCCTTCGACAGAAGGGCATAATTATTTTTGTGGAAAATAATCTAATAATTTTGAGAGTGATAATTTGGGGGTTATCAAACTTAGCTTAACCAAGGAAGTTCCGTGTGGTGGAAGATAATCAGATCATATACTCGACTTCTAGATCTTAGGATTTTACACAAGCCACGAGCCCTTAACAGGACAGCTCATTGGGTGGCAATTTTGGCACTTTTCAATTCTCTTCCAGTGAATTGGGTTAGCTGTCCCCCATTAGAGTTTGAGGCTTTTTGTGCATCTGATTGTAACCAAGTTTTTCCTATTTGAATGAATTTGGCTATATTTCAGATCAAAAAAAGAAAGAAGGGCATAATGTAAACATTACGAAATCCAAACCTATAAAAAAAGTACAAATCATTTGTCATAGTATGAACTGTGTTGGTGGACATAATTTTGAGGAGTAATTCAAATGATAACGGGAACGAGCTCTTAATTTAGATATTTTGAGTTCGAATCTTAACAACTCTTTAGTATTACCTTATGAGAAATTTATTCTTTATGAATGTCCTAATCTTGATATGAATGATCAGTTTTTGAACGAATCAAAAAAAAATAAAAATTAAGTCGAAATATATATAAATTGATCCCAATACATATACGTTTACAAGTTGATTTTCTATTTGACCTTTGTTGAGGTTTTGAATAAATTAAGGATTTGGACTCTTCTAAATTTTAATTGATTTTTTGACCTTTAGAAAAAGTCAAGAAGGGCTTAACGTGAACATTATGAAATCCAAAACTATCCAAAAAAGTATAAATCATTTGTCACAGTATGAATTGTGTTCTTGCACGTAATTTTAAGGATAGTTTAAGTGATAATAAAAATAAATTTTAAATTTAGATATCTTAAGTTCGGATCTTAACAATTTCTTAGAATTAGATTATGAGGAATTTATTCTTTATGATTATCCTAATCTTGACATGGATGGTCTTTTGATCGAATCAAAAAAAAAAAAATTAGTTAAAATATGCATAAACTAATTCCAATACATACATGTTTACAAGTTGAATTTCTATTCGACCTTTGTTGAGATTTTGAATAAATTAAGGATTTGGACTCTTTCGAATTTTAATTGACTCTTTGACCTTTAAAAAAGGGTAGTTCTACGGTACCATTTGGTCAAAATTCCGTATAGTACCAAAAAAAAATGTGTCGCCCTCAATTTTTGCCATTAAATATTAAAAAGTTATTCATTAAAAGTGTGATAACTTTGCCAATAAAAGTTGTACCATTTTTTTTTAAAGATTATAATCTCAGCTGCCATTTTTTTGTGGTACTTTTACCTTTANCATTTGGTCAAAATTCCGTATAGTACCAAAAAAAAATGTGTCGCCCTCAATTTTTGTCATTAAATATTAAAAAGTTATTCATTAAAGGTGTGATAACTTTGCCAATAAAAGTTGTACCATTTTTTTTAAAGATTATAATCTCAGCTGCCATTTTTTTGTGGTACTTTTACCTTTATTAATTATAACTTAGCCTTAAATAGTTATAACTTTATATCCAAAGGTAGTAATTTTACCATAAATAGTTATAACCTCACTTTTAAAGATAGTAATTTTAATTTTAATTATTATGACCTTACCTAAAAAGTTGGAACCTCACATTTAAATGTGATAACTTTATCTCAAGAGTAATAACTTTATCTTTACAAGTAGTAACATTATATTTCAAACTCATGATCGATCATGATTAATTAAAATTGATCTCAATGCCAATTTTTTTAATCGGCATCTCTTAATTAATCATGATTGATCTTAATTGAGTGAAATCGCAAAAAAAAAAATGGCATTGAAATTGATCTTAATTAATCAATCATGACTATTGAATGTAATGTTACTGTTTACAAACACAAAGTTATTACTCTTGAAATAAAGTTATCATCTTTAAAAGTGAGATACAAACTCTTTAGGTAAGATTATAATAATTAAAAGTAAAATTACTATATTTAAAAGTGAGATCATAATTATTTATTGTAAAATTATTATCTTTGAATATAAAATTATAATTATTTAAAGTTAGGTTATAATCAGAAAAGATAAAAGTACCACCAAAGGACGACGGTTGAGATTACGTTCTATAGAAAAAATGGTACAAATTTTATTGACAAAATTATCACACTTTTAATGAGTAATTTTTTAATATTTAATAATAAAAATTAAGATTCACACATTTTTTTTTTGGTAGCGTACCGAATTTTGTCCCAACGGTACCGTAGAGCTTCCCTTAAAAAAGGAAGAAAGGACAACGTGAACCGGTGGACGCCATGCAAAATGTTTCTTCTTTTGTTGACTTTACTGGTAAGGTATAAATGTACTGGACTCTGCTTTACCTCTGTTTTAACTGTGAAAATTGTTCTTGTTGTTGGCTTGGCAGGTATAAATGATCATGCATGACCATCAATGAATGTGAAGGTGATAAAAATATTTGGCTCAACTTAACCATGTGGAGACGCGAAGATTTAAAACTGTTAAACTTAAACCCCTCCTAGTGGGGCGGTTTAATAGAATATCGGCTGAACTTTTTACATTGTAATTGAGAGTTTGAACATTGGAGTTCATATTAAAATTCGAAGATTAAAATTTACATNCATGTGGAGACGCGAAGATTTAAAACTGTTAAACTTAAACCCCTCCTAGTGGGGCGGTTTAGTAGAATATCGGCTGAACTTTTTATATTGAAATTGAGAGTTTGAACATTGGAGTTCATATTAAAATTCGAAGATTAAAATTTACATTAAAATTCGGTGATATAGATTATGAATTTTACAAATCACGTGATATAATTGAAAGAGTTAAAAAAAAAAACCATATTTTTGAGCAATACTATTTGAGGTATAATTTACAGAAATAATTTGAGACCTGAATGATTGTGATTTATAGATTATCAATGATATTTAGTATTAAATAAAATTTATTATCAATTTATTAAATCTCTAAATTATATTCAAACAACATTTATGGTCCAAGAATCTATACCATAACCACAAGTAAAATATCAAGTATAATAGTTATATCATGTCATCAATATTCATGTGTAACTATTCAATAAAAAAAAAACAAAATTGATAAAATGGGTCTTGCTTTCTGTTTTGGAGGTGATTATATATTATATGATTGAGTGGTAATGAATTTTTGTGGGATTCATTTATAGACTTGTTTATTTATTAATAGACGATTACATCACATTGTATAACATTTACACCTAAAGGTGGTAAATGGATTGATTGGGTTGATTCTGGTTTAGTTGAAGATGAGTTGGGTGCAAAATAAATCCAATTCATTTTAAACCCACTTAATAATCGGATTATAATTGGTTGAATTATAATGAGTTGGATTAAACTGTAAAATAATTAAAAATCTTAATATGAATACATATAAATATACAAAAAATATATATACTAATACACCAAAAGACACATTAATACACTAAAAATATACAAACTAATACACAAAAAATATACAAACATACTAACACACAAAAAACACAAACACATTTAATAAAACACCAAAATACACTATTCACCAAAATACACACACAAAGGGTCGGGTCATGGAGTGTGAGTCGAGTGTCTTTGTGTGTGTTTTGGTGTATTTAGTGTATATGTGTGTATTTTTTAGTACATGAGTGAATGTATATTTTTTGGTATATTAATATATTTATTTGATTTTATTACTTATATTATTCAATAAAAAGATAAATATTCAACCAAATAGATTCCCATTTGTAATTAATCCTAATTCGTTTAATTAAAATGAATTTTATTACCCAACTCATTTAAAACTCGTATGAATTAATATAGATACTTAACTTATTTATTTACGAACGAGTTAATTAGTAAGAGGTTGAGATTGCTATCTCTATACTTACACCCCATATTCCCCCACCCATACAGTAAAAAAAAAAAAAGATTGAATAAACCTTTCCAAGGATCAAAGTGAAAATATACTACGTGTAACCATTACATTTACATTACCGCAGTAATAACTAAATAAGACAGAAAGCGAGTTCCACAAAAATTTATCACTATCATACCATTTAATGCATAACCAGTTTCATAATAAAAAGTGAGTCCTATTTTATTTATTAAATAGTTATAGCCATCAATATTGCTAGCATAACTAAGATGGTATAACCCGGCCAATGTTTACTCCTCAAAGTGGAGCCTTTTTGGATCCCAACCCATATTCTCCACGATCTGCGGATCACTCAGAAAATATCTTCGCCACTTTAAACATATGGACAAGATGTATTACTCATGATGAATCTTCAAAGCTGCCTGATGTCTGTGTTTTTACATGTGTGTGTGTCATCGTATACGGGGTTAGTTGGTCCAGACACCAGAAAATTCTACACTCAGATATTTTCAGTTCCTTCCTTAAACAGATACTTGCAACGACATCATACAGAGATTGGTCCACACACGACACGCATTAAATTTAGCTCCTTATATCTCTCTTCGCTCTTCTCCTATATAAAGCTAACCCATGCCCCATTTTTGCTAAACTTGGAGAATCTTGAGGTGGTTCATGGCCTAATCTTTAAAGGAACATTGCCTTTTCTTGGTGGGTTTTGAGTTGTTCTAAGTTTCTTCTAAAGAGTATTTTAAATCTTAGTGGGGTTTCTGTGTAGCGCTGAGTTTCTTCTTCGGCTTGGGTTGCCATGGATACCGGTGATCTTTATAAAGCCGGTAGTAGTTTACGAGCACACAGTTCTTCGATTTGGAGGGACAATGCTATTCAAGCATTTTCTCGATCTTCACGAGAAGAAGATGATGAAGAAGCTCTTAAATGGGCTTCCCTTGAAAAGCTTCCCACTTTCAAACGATTGAAGAAAGGTCTGTTGCATGGATCAACTGGTGTGACCAATGAGGTTGATGTAGAGAATCTTGGGTTTGAACAAAGAAAGGCTTTGATTGAGAGGCTGATTAAAGTAGCAGAAGAAGATAATGAGCAGTTCTTGTTAAAGCTGAGGGATCGAATTGATAGGTAAGATTTCTTCTAATCATTTCCTTTCGATTATGTATCTGAACTATTTTTGGTTTATAAATGCTTTTTTTATGTTGGGTTTGTCAGTAATGGTTTTGTGTTCTTCCGTGGAATTCTCAGAGTTGGAATTGATTTGCCTGAAATTGAAGTTAGATTCGACCATCTAAATATTGAAGCAGAGGCTTATGTAGGAGGCAGAGCTCTACCTACTTTCCTTAACTTCTGTGTTAATATAGTTGAGGTAACAACAGGCAAATATGCATGTATATATATGTGTGTGTGTTCGCGCGAGCGTGTGTGTGTTTCATTATTGTTGCATGGGCAGAATTTGATGTTTTTGTTCTTGTTTTTGGTAAATGGTTTTTTATTCTAATATATATTTGGTTGTTTCCAAAAGGGATTCTTGAACATTTTCCATGTACTCCCTGGTAGAAAGAGGCATGTAACTATCCTCCATGATGTTAGCGGAATCATCAAGCCTTGCAGGTAAGCTTGAATCTTAGTTCAATGTTTTTACTATTTTTTTTTTCTGTTAATTTTCTGGGCAGTTTATTTATTTTTTTGTTCATGTGTTGTTGCAGAATGACATTGCTTCTAGGTCCTCCAAGTTCTGGAAAGACAACACTCTTGTTGGCTTTGGCCGGGAAACTTGACCCTGATCTACAGGTATACAGTCATTGCAGCCTTAATTTTTCTGAAGTTTTCTCGAATCAGTTAGCATACCCAATTAGGACTACGAAAATTCTCCATTTCTGTAACACTAGGTTTCCGGTAGGGTGACATATAATGGCCACGGCCTGCATGAGTTTGTACCCCAGAGAACTGCGGCCTACATAAGCCAACATGATCTTCATATAGGTGAAATGACTGTGAGAGAAACGTTTTCGTTCTCTGCTAGATGCCAAGGGGTTGGATCCCGATATGGTGAGTAACCAAAGCACTTATTCATGTTCTTCTTTGTATAAATTTACAAAGCAGACTGTGATTTACACTGGTATATATGTGCACATATATAGGCATTTACCAATAATGATATATTGTACGTTTACTGGTCGTTAAATACATTAATTGTTCTTCTTGAACATTTGCAGAGATGCTAGCAGAGTTGTTAAGGAGAGAGAAAGCAGCGAATATTAAGCCTGATCCTGATGTTGATGTCTTCATGAAGGTAAGAATGGAGCTGCTGTTACAATTGAAGGGGGTAACACGAAGCCAGTTGTTTATATTGGAGATTGTGCACACTAGTCTTCTTCAAAATGACAATTGTGATACGATTCAGGTCTAAGAACATTGGGTTTTCATTTGAGTGGATGATGTAAAATGGGCATTCCTATACTGGTTTTTTTTTTTTTGTTTCAAGAATGATCACACGATTACTGGAATACAATACAGAAGTCAATCCTTCAACATGGATTTACTCATTTTCATCTTACAAATGCATTATACCATTATATATATGTTCAGTTGTGTAAAATCTGGTGTTTTTCCTTCGAAAATTTCTTTGGTGGCCCTTCTCTGTTACACCTACTTGATATAAATTTTATCAATTAGAATCATTTCATTGCAAAGAATTCTCCTAGTTTATGAAACCCACTTTCTGTATGATTAAAAATTTCTTTATTGTTTCCCAAAATACAGGCAGTAGCAACAGAAGGACAGGAGGCAAGCGTGGTCACTGATTATTTTCTGAAGGTATTGTAAATGATCTATAGTTGTATAACAAGATCTTAACACTGCACAAGTGTTGTTCATTTACTTTCCAAAAGTGCAGGTTCTGGGGCTGGAAGGCTGTGCAGATACTATGGTTGGGGATGAAATGATAAGGGGCATCTCTGGAGGACAAAGGAAACGTGTCACAACAGGTAAAACAAACTCATATCCAACATTGAATCAAATACAATCTTGCTCTATGATACTGGACTGACAATGGAAAGTTTTCATTATTCAACTACAGGTGAGATGTTGGTTGGACCAGCAAAGGCACTTTTTATGGACGAGATATCAACTGGTTTGGACAGTTCAACAACTTTTCAGATTGTGAATTCACTCCGGCAATATATCCACATTCTTCAGGGAACAGCCATCATCTCTCTCCTGCAGCCAGCACCTGAGACTTTTGAGCTGTTTGATGATATAATTCTTTTATCCGATGGCCAGATTGTGTACCAGGGTCCCCGTGAGCATGTGCTCGCGTTTTTTGAGTCCACTGGTTTTAAATGTCCGGAGAGGAAAGGTGTGGCTGACTTTTTGCAAGAAGTGAGTGCAATTCCATTGTTCATCTAATTTCTTATTAGGGAAAGGAATAATCTCATTACATATTTCACATATCAGTTTAGGCATAATGATAATTTATTATAGGTGACATCCAAGAAAGATCAGAGGCAATATTGGGCACACAGAGATGAGCCTTACAGATTTGTCACAGTCAGTGAATTTGCTGAGGCATTCCAGTCCTTCCACGTGGGACGACGACTGGGAGACGAGCTGGCGACCCAATTTGACAAGAGCAAAGGCCACCCAGCTGCTTTGGCAACCAAAAAATATGGTGTTCCGAGGAAGGAGGTCTTGAAAGCTTGTACCTCAAGAGAACTCCTCTTGATGAAGAGAAATTCTTTCGTCTACATATTTAAGCTCGGCCAAGTGAGTATTTCTATAAGCATATTTCTAAATTTGGGATTAAGTTGGCAATCACTAATAAATATTTTGATATGTTGTTTAGCTTTTCATAATGGCATTGATTACAATGACACTCTTCCTAAGAACCGAGATGCACCGAAATTCGATTACTGATGGAGGGATATATACGGGTGCTCTGTTTTTCACTGTAGTCTTGATCATGTTCAATGGTATGGCAGAGATCGCCATGACAATCGGAAAGCTTCCTGTCTTTTACAAGCAAAGGGATTACCTCTTTTATCCCTCATGGGCATATGCTCTTCCCACATGGATCCTTAAGATCCCCATCACACTTTTAGAAGTTGGTCTTTGGGTATTTCTCACTTATTATGTAATTGGGTTTGATCCAAATGTCGGAAGGTAAAGTTCTAGACAAAAAGTATTAATGAACATGCTGAGTTTGTAATCTTCAAATTGTTCTTTTAAAGTGATGATGGAATAAAATCTTTATTGCAGATTGTTTAAGCAGTATCTGCTACTCTTACTTGTCAACCAGATGGCTTCTGGATTGTTCCGATTTATTGGGGCGGTGGGTAGGAACATGATTGTTGCAAACACATTTGGGTCTTTTGCATTGCTTGCACTTTTTGCATTAGGTGGCTTTATCCTCTCGCGAGGTATGAAATTTAAATTGAAGTTTTCAAACAAGTATTGACATAGCTACACATTGACTAATGATTCTGTACATTTGTTCGGTGCCACAGAGGATGTCAAGAAATGGTGGATATGGGGTTATTGGGCGTCACCAATGATGTATGGGATGAATGCTATTGCAGCGAATGAATTTCTCGGGAATAGTTGGAGACATGTAAGCCACATGAGTTTACGGTGTTTGGTTGCATTCTTGTGCCCACATTTGTGTCTCAATTAGAATCAACTGAATTATGGTTATTTCACTTTCATGTCAAGGTTCTTCCAAATACCGCAGAACCACTAGGAGTTATGGTTATGAAGTCTCGAGGACTCTTCCCATATGCTTACTGGTATTGGATAGGAGTGGGGGCAATGTTCGGATTCACACTTCTGTTCAACTTCGGCTTCACTGTGGCTCTCACTTATCTCAACCGTGGGTATCTCTACATTATTGGCTCTAAAACTACTCAAACTTAACATCCTTCATGATAATATTCAGCAACATTCTGCAGCTTTTGGAAAGCCNAATTCTGTTCAACTTCGGCTTCACTGTGGCTCTCACTTATCTCAACCGTGGGTATCTCTACATTATTGGCTCTAAAACTACTTAAACTTAACATCCTTCATGATAATATTCAGCAACATTCTGCAGCTTTTGGAAAGCCTCAAGCTGTTGTACCAGAAGAAAGTCAAAGCAAAGGAGAATCTATTGAGTTACCATCTCGAGGATATAGCTCTGTTGGCGTAGTTTCATCTCAGGGTAATGAAATCTTTTGTATAATGGTTGTGTGCGCATTATGTTGTTGTCTTAATTTGCTAATCTTCATTTGAATTGACATGCAGAGAGAGGAGATCTAATTAGAAGTACTTCATCTCGATCATCAATGAGAACAGAAGCCACTGACGAGGTCAATCAAAACAGAAATAGAGGAATGGTTCTTCCATTTGAACCATATTNTAATTTGAATTGACATGCAGAGAGAGGAGATCTAATTAGAAGTACTTCATCTCGATCATCAATGAGAACAGAAGCCATTGACGAGGTCAATCAAAACAGAAATAGAGGAATGGTTCTTCCATTTGAACCATATTCTATCACTTTTGACAAAATTAAATACTCTGTTGACATGCCACAGGTAACTGCGTAATTAAACAATTGAAGTGCTTGTATGCATGTGTTTTGACTAAAGAAAGCTACTTGTTTAGGGTAAACACTCAAAACATAACGAGACTTAACAGTTCATATTGAATTTGCAGGAAATGAAAGATCAGGGTGTTTCTGAAGATAGATTGATGCTTCTGAAGGGTGTGAGTGGAGCTTTCAGGCCAGGTGTTCTTACAGCTCTAATGGGTGTCAGTGGTGCTGGTAAAACAACTCTGATGGATGTGCTTGCTGGGCGGAAAACTGGTGGATACATTGAGGGTACCATTACAATTTCTGGTTATCCAAAGAAGCAAGAGACATTTGCTCGTATTTCTGGATACTGTGAACAGAATGACATTCACTCTCCTCATGTTACTGTGTACGAGTCCCTGCTCTACTCTGCTTGGTTAAGATTACCTCTAGAAGTTGATTCTAAAACTAGAAAGGTTGGTGCATCCAATTATATTTCCTACCTTGTACAGCCCATTTAGATAAAAACTTCAAATTCCAAAGCAGTAAAAAGTGCAGAATAGATTGAGTTATTGTCACACTCTTTATTGCGTTATTGTCATGCTCGAGATCAACTCAAATTCAATCACCAATCCGGTCATCCTTTTCAAGTTTAAGCTGGTCCAAACTTCATCAACTTAGAGCTTATATTTCTTAGCTTTCCTAGTGGGTAATCCATGTTCATGAGCATGACCTTAAAAAATAGAGGTTAATGAGCATTATGGAGCATTAAAAGGTTTATTTTTCTTCATATTTCTACCAATGTTTTTTTGATGTGCTGTGAAATCGGTGCATAATTGCTCGGATGGTGCTTTGAGTTGATGACTATCAGTGTGCCTTTTTTTTCAGATTAATACCATTCAAGTTTTTGTTTTTTGGCATGCAAGTAGGTATGCACTTGTGTACGAAGTGATTTTGCTGCTCAAATCTTTGTAAATAGCTTTATCATCTCCTAGAAAGGCCAACTAATCAAAGAATAAAAATTTCAGTCTGTGAGGAATTGGTGAAAAATTCAAAATCAACAAGGTCATGATTGATCGGCATTTGCCTCTATCTAATTCTGATTATTCTCTCCAGATGTTCATTGANTGCTCAAATCTTTGTAAATAGCTTTATCATCTCCTAGAAAGGCCAACTAATCAAAGAATAAAAATTTCAGTCTGTGAGGAATTGGTGAAAAATTCAAAATCAACAAGGTCATGATTGATCGGCATTTGCCTCTATCTAATTCTGATTATTCTCTCCAGATGTTCATTGAGGAGGTCATGGAACTAGTGGAACTGAACCCATTGAGGGGATCACTAGTGGGGTTGCCAGGTGTAAATGGCCTTTCAACAGAGCAACGCAAGAGGCTAACCATTGCAGTGGAGTTGGTGGCAAACCCGTCTATAATATTCATGGATGAGCCGACTTCAGGGCTGGATGCAAGAGCTGCTGCAATTGTGATGAGAACAGTTAGGAACACTGTAGACACAGGAAGAACTGTTGTATGCACCATCCATCAGCCAAGTATCGATATCTTTGAAGCTTTTGATGAGGTGAAAACTGGAAATATTTGAAACCAATTAGATTCATTTTCTGTTTTCTTCTTTGTATGGGACACTGAAGTATTAAACACGGGGTTGCAGCTGTTCCTGATGAAGAGAGGAGGACAAGAGATATATGTGGGGCCACTAGGTCGCCATTCTTGCCAATTGATAAAGTACTTTGAGGTGAGATGGCAGTGAACGAACAGAACGTATAAGCAATAAATATCATACTGTTTCAAGTATTTATGCTTAAAATGTAAGGGCTAAAAACTTGACTTGCTTTTGAACAAGGGAATCAACGGAGTGAGCCAAATCAAAGATGGCTATAATCCAGCAACATGGATGTTGGAAGTTACTTCTCCAGCTCAGGAAATGATTCTGGGGGTTGATTTTGCTGAAGGTTACAAAAATTTGGAACTGCACAGGTTGGGTCAATTGTAATACATTCTACTATATAATGAATGAGATGGTTATGTTGGTCATGATATTTTTTATGCATCTTAAATTTGTTGTTAACGGCTCTGCTGATGTTTTTCACATATTTCAGGAGAAACAAGGATCTGATTAGTGAACTAAGTTCACCTCGACCTGATTCCAAGGATCTGTATTTCCCTACTCAATACTCCCAGTCTTTCCTCACCCAATGCATGGCTTGCCTATGGAAACAACATTGGTCATACTGGCGCAACCCGCCTTACACGGCGGTGAGATTTATTTTCACAACCTTCATAGCGCTGATGTTTGGGACAATGTTCTGGGATCTTGGCTCCAAAAGGTAAGCCATAAAACACAGAATAAAAGGTGTCCATAAACTGAAACATTTTATAGTCTCCATTTCCACCTTAAATTTACCTTTCTTCTTTTAAATGTGATGGATTGTAGGACCAATCAGCAAGATCTGTTCAATGCAATGGGTTCTATGTATGCCGCTGTTATCTTCCTAGGGGTACAAAATGCTACATCGGTGCGGCCAGTGGTGGCTGTTGAACGAACAGTATTTTATAGAGAAAGAGCAGCTGGAATGTATTCAGCATTGCCTTATGCCTTTGGACAGGTATCTAGTCTTACAATAAAAACTTCAGATTGACATGAAGTCTTAGTGTTTATGTTCATCGAGGAAGTTCATTCTTGTGTTGCAGGTTGTTATTGAACTTCCATATATCTTTGCTCAAGCAGCAGTATATGGAGTTATAGTTTATGCAATGATTGGATTTGAATGGACAGTCGCCAAGTTCTTTTGGTACTTGTTCTTCATGTACTTCACATTATTGTACTACACCTTCTATGGCATGATGACTGTGGCTGTGACTCCAAACCACAACATTGCTGCAATTATAGCCTCTTCATTTTTTGCAATATGGAACCTATTTTCTGGATTCTTAATCCCACGCCCGGTAAGTTCAGACAATGTCATTCATCTTTAAGATGAGTAGATCAACTATGCAGAGCTTACAAGCTAACTAATTACTATGTACATTGTCAAACTCCAGAGGATGCCTGTGTGGTGGAGATGGTATTCTTGGGCATGTCCAGTTGCTTGGACATTGTATGGTTTGATTGCATCGCAGTTTGGAGATATAAAGGAAACCCTGGACACAGATGTAGCAGTTGAAGACTTCTTGAGAAGTTACTTTGGTTTTAAACATGATTTTGTTGGAGTAGCTGCAGCCGCTGTTGCCGGGTTTGCTGTTCTTTTCACATTCATCTTTGCGTTTTCCATCAAGGCATTCAATTTCCAGCGGCGATAGGGAGCTTTTAGGAGCACGAGTCGCAGCCATTTCCCCTGAACTTCGGATTCCAAAAATTGTGACTTACCATGTCGAAAGTGGGTTTTATTCCTTGTATATTGTAATGTTTTGAGTTTCTCATTGACACTTGAAAAAGCTGATATTCCTGAAAGCATTACATCACTAAATATGTGTAAGTTGTGTGTTTTTTTTGTTCCTTTTCCTCTTTGAGCTACATATATACTTTGTTGTATGAGAATGAAATTCAATACAAAAGTTCTGTCAAAGTGACATAGGAAACCCCAAAAGCTGAGTTACATATAAAAGTTCTCTCAAAGAATATCAAGTCAAATGGAAGAAAAGAAAAATCTATCTGTGTTTACTCAAATCAGTTTTATACATCATTTAAATACTAATGTTCTATTTGGTACGATGAAAAAATAGGAGAATGAAAAATTGGAAGGAGTGAAAGTTGGGGAAATAAATAAAACATCATATTTGGTAAGGACGAAAAAGTTGATGAATTAACTTTCGTTTCAGCTCACCAAAATCAATCCCTCTAAANTAACATCCTTCATGATAATATTCAGCAACATTCTGCAGCTTTTGGAAAGCCTCAAGCTGTTGTACCAGAAGAAAGTCAAAGCAAAGGAGAATCTATTGAGTTACCATCTCGAGGATATAGCTCTGTTGGCGTAGTTTCATCTCAGGGTAATGAAATCTTTTGTATAATGGTTGTGTGCGCATTATGTTGTTGTCTTAATTTGCTAATCTTAATTTGAATTGACATGCAGAGAGAGGAGATCTAATTAGAAGTACTTCATCTCGATCATCAATGAGAACAGAAGCCATTGACGAGGTCAATCAAAACAGAAATAGAGGAATGGTTCTTCCATTTGAACCATATTCTATCACTTTTGACAAAATTAAATACTCTGTTGACATGCCACAGGTAACTGCGTAATTAAACAATTGAAGTGCTTGTATGCATGTGTTTTGACTAAAGAAAGCTACTTGTTTAGGGTAAACACTCAAAACATAACGAGACTTAACAGTTCACATTGAATTTGCAGGAAATGAAAGATAAGGGTGTTTCTGAAGATAGATTGATGCTTCTGAAGGGTGTGAGTGGAGCTTTCAGGCCTGGTGTTCTTACAGCTCTAATGGGTGTTAGTGGTGCTGGTAAAACAACTCTGATGGATGTGCTTGCTGGGCGGAAAACTGGTGGATACATTGAGGGTACCATTACAATTTCTGGTTATCCAAAGAAGCAAGAGACGTTTGCTCGTATTTCTGGATACTGCGAACAGAATGACATTCACTCTCCTCATGTTACTGTGTACGAGTCCCTGCTCTACTCTGCTTGGTTAAGATTACCTCCAGAAGTTGATTCTAAAACTAGAAAGGTTGGTGCATCCAATTATATTTCCTACCTTGTACAGCCCATTTAGATAAAAACTTCAAATTCCAAAGCAGTAAAAAGTGCAGAATAGATTGAGTTATTGTCACACTCTTTATTGCGTTATTGTCATGCTCGAGATCAACTCAAATTCAATCACCAATCCGGTCATCCTTTTCAAGTTTAAGCTGGTCCAAACTTCATCAACTTAGAGCTTATATTTCTTAGCTTTCCTAGTGGGTAATCCATGTTCATGAGCATGACCTTAAAAAATAGAGGTTAATGAGCATTATGGAGCATTAAAAGGTTTATTTTTCTTCATATTTCTACCAATGTTTTTTTGATGTGCTGTGAAATCGGTGCATAATTGCTCGGATGGTGCTTTGAGTTGATGACTATCAGTGTGCCTTTTTTTTCAGATTAATACCATTCAAGTTTTTGTTTTTTGGCATGCAAGTAGGTATGCACTTGTGTACGAAGTGATTTTGCTACTCAAATCTTTGTAAATAGCTTTATCATCTCCTAGAAAGGCCAACTAATCAAAGAATAAAAATTTCAGTCTTTGAGGAATTGGTGAAAAATTCAAAATCAACAAGGTCATGATTGATCGGCATTTGCCTCTATCTAATTCTGATTATTCTCTCCAGATGTTCATTGAGGAGGTCATGGAACTAGTGGAACTGAACCCATTGAGGGGATCACTAGTGGGGTTGCCAGGTGTAAATGGCCTTTCAACAGAGCAACGCAAGAGGCTAACCATTGCAGTGGAGTTGGTGGCAAACCCGTCTATAATATTCATGGATGAGCCGACTTCAGGGCTGGATGCAAGAGCTGCTGCAATTGTGATGAGAACAGTTAGGAACACTGTAGACACAGGAAGAACTGTTGTATGCACCATCCATCAGCCAAGCATCGATATCTTTGAAGCTTTTGATGAGGTGAAAACTGGAAATATTTGAAACCAATTAGATTCATTTTCTGTTTTCTTCTTTGTATGGGACACTGAAGTATTAAACACGGGGTTGCAGCTGTTCCTGATGAAGAGAGGAGGACAAGAGATATATGTGGGGCCACTAGGTCGCCATTCTTGCCAATTGATAAAGTACTTTGAGGTGAGATGGCAGCGAACGAACAGAACGTATAAGCAATAAATATCATACTGTTTCAAGTACTTATGCTTAAAATGTAAGGGCTAAAAACTTGACTTGCTTTTGAACAAGGGAATCAACGGAGTGAGCCAAATCAAAGATGGCTATAATCCAGCAACATGGATGTTGGAAGTTACTTCTCCAGCTCAGGAAATGATTCTGGGGGTTGATTTTGCTGAAGGTTACAAAAATTTGGAACTGCACAGGTTGGGTCAATTGTAATACATTCTACTATATAATGAATGAGATGGTTATGTTGGTCATGATATTTTTTATGCATCTTAAATTTGTTGTTAACGGCTCTGCTGATGTTTTTCACATATTTCAGGAGAAACAAGGATCTGATTAGTGAACTAAGTTCACCTCGACCTGATTCCAAGGATCTGTATTTCCCTACTCAATACTCCCAGTCTTTCCTCACCCAATGCATGGCTTGCCTATGGAAACAACATTGGTCATACTGGCGCAACCCGCCTTACACGGCGGTGAGATTTATTTTCACAACCTTCATAGCGCTGATGTTTGGGACAATGTTCTGGGATCTTGGCTCCAAAAGGTAAGCCATAAAACACAGAATAAAAGGTGTCCATAAACTGAAACATTTTATAGTGTCTCCATTTCCACCTTAAATTTACCTTTCTTCTTTTAAATGTGATGGATTGTAGGACCAATCAGCAAGATCTGTTCAATGCAATGGGTTCTATGTATGCCGCTGTTATCTTCCTAGGGGTACAAAATGCTACATCGGTGCGGCCAGTGGTGGCTGTTGAACGAACAGTATTTTATAGAGAAAGAGCAGCTGGAATGTATTCAGCATTGCCTTATGCCTTTGGACAGGTATCTAGTCTTACAATAAAAACTTCAGATTGACATGAAGTCTTAGTGTTTATGTTCATCGAGGAAGTTCATTCTTGTGTTGCAGGTTGTTATTGAACTTCCATATATCTTTGCTCAAGCAGCAGTATATGGAGTTATAGTTTATGCAATGATTGGATTTGAATGGACAGTCGCCAAGTTCTTTTGGTACTTGTTCTTCATGTACTTCACACTATTGTACTACACCTTCTATGGCATGATGACTGTGGCTGTGACTCCAAACCACAACATTGCTGCAATTATAGCCTCTTCATTTTTTGCAATATGGAACCTATTTTCTGGATTCTTAATCCCACGCCCGGTAAGTTCAGACAATGTCATTCATCTTTAAGATGAGTAGATCAACTATGCAGAGCTTACAAGCTAACTAATTACTATGTACATTGTCAAACTCCAGAGGATGCCTGTGTGGTGGAGATGGTATTCTTGGGCATGTCCAGTTGCTTGGACATTGTATGGTTTGATTGCATCGCAGTTTGGAGATATAAAGGAAACCCTGGACACAGATGTAGCAGTTGAAGACTTCTTGAGAAGTTACTTTGGTTTTAAACATGATTTTGTTGGAGTAGCTGCAGCCGCTGTTGCCGGGTTTGCTGTTCTTTTCACATTCATCTTTGCGTTTTCCATCAAGGCATTCAATTTCCAACGGCGATAGGGAGCTTTTAGGAGCACGAGTCGCAGCCATTTCCCCTGAACTTCGGATTCCAAAAATTGTGACTTACCATGTCGAAAGTGGGTTTTATTCCTTGTATATTGTAATGTTTTGAGTTTCTCATTGACACTTGAAAAAGCTGATATTCCTGAAAGCATTACATCACTAAATATGTGTAAGTTGTGTGTTTTTTTTGTTCCTTTTCCTCTTTGAGCTACATATATACTTTGTTGTATGAGAATGAAATTCAATACAAAAGTTCTGTCAAAGTGACATAGGAAACCCCAAAAGCTGAGTTACATATAAAAGTTCTCTCAAAGAATATCAAGTCAAATGGAAGAAAAGAAAAATCTATCTGTGTTTACTCAAATCAGTTTTATACATCATTTAAATACTAATGTTCTATTTGGTACGATGAAAAAATAGGAGAATGAAAAATTGGAAGGAGTGAAAGTTGGGGAAATAAATAAAACATCATATTTGGTAAGGACGAAAAAGTTGATGAATTAACTTTCGTTTCAGCTCACCAAAATCAATCCCTCTNATAGAAAGTTGGAGAAATAAATAAAACATCATATTTGGTAAGGACGAAAAAGTTGATGAATTAACTTTCGTTTCAGCTCATCAAAATCAATCCCTCTAAAATTGGAAGAAAAGTGAATGAAAAATTAATTATTTATGTTGAGATGTATCTTATTTGTCTATATATCTTATGTATACATTAATTTCATATANAGTGAAAGTTGGGGAAATAAATAAAACATCATATTTGGTAAGGACGAAAAAGTTGATGAATTAACTTTCGTTTCAGCTCACCAAAATCAATCCCTCTAAAATTGGAAGAAAAGTAAATGAAAAATTAATTATTTATGTTGAGATGTATCTTATTTGTCTATATATCTTATGTATACATTAATTTCATATAAAAATATAATGGTAAAATATGTATATATATTTTAAAAAATTTTAAAAATTAATTTTAAAAAAATTAAAAATTAAAAATTAAAATAAAATTTAAAAAATTAAAAAATTTTAAATTTTAAATTTTAAATTTTAAATTAAAAAATATATATTTTTTCCATCTTAACTAAGAGTGANTTAAAAAAATAAATTTTAAAAAATTAAAATAAATTTTAAAAAATTAAAAAATTTTAAATTTTAAATTAAAAAATATATATTTTTTCCATCTTAACTAAGAGTGAAAATTTTCGACTTAATACGATGACACGATTCGAACTCGATACGAAAATAAATAGGTCAACTCGCAACTCGATACGATACAATTAATTAAATGAGTTAAGTGAGATTTGACTAATATTCGACATAAACTCGCAATGACTTAGCACGACTCGACTCTATTATCACCCCTAATCTTAGCCAACAAAAAAAAAAATAGTCATTTTTATTTTCCATCCATCCAACCAAACACGAAGGAAGGAAAGTGTATCCTTCCTACTTTCCATCATCTCTATCANACAAACTCGTAATGACTTAGCACGACTCGACTCTATTATCACCCCTAATCTTAGCCAACAAAAAAAAAAATAGTCATTTTTATTTTCCATCCATCCAACCAAACACGAAGGAAGGAAAGTGTATCCTTCCTACTTTCCATCATCTCTATCAAACGGAGCATAAAATACNATAAACTCGCAATGACTTAGCACGACTCGACTCTATTGTCACCCCTAATCTTAGCCAACAAAAAAAAATAGTCATTTTTATTTTCCATCCATCCAACCAAACACGAAAGAAGGAAAGTGTATCCTTCCTACTTTCCATCATCTCTATCAAACGGAGCATAAAATACAGCAGTTCTAAATCATCAAGAAACCCCAGCAAATTAAGAAATTTAAATAAATATTTCAAAAATGGGATAAAAAATAAAAATGCTTAAAAAGTGGCCTAAACATCATTTTTTTGAATTAAAAATGATTGATTAAAATATATATATTTCAATCTTGCTCGGCTCGTCAAAAATTTTTCGGAATGGAATTTTAATAAATTTTTTGATACTATCGTCCAAAATTAGTTCCGAACAATGCTGTTTTAGAGGGTCTTGATTCATCAAAATCAGTCCCGATGCTCACTTGAACTTCAACAAGCATTTCTAATTATCACGTCAGAATAATTTAAATAATAGGGTTTCAACGTTTCAAGGTCTCAAATTTGAGTATTTTGAGGTACACCTTCCTCGACTCTATGCGTGTGGTTTGTTGGTACTTACATACACCCCAAAATTATAATAAAACAAATGACACATGATTAAGATATTTCTCAGTAATTAAAGAAAATATTCTATTGCCACACTTTGAAAGCAGACTTATTTTAGTGTGCAGTTAGTTTAATTATGCACATATAATTAATAAGAAAAAAATAGTTTAATGTACAAAACTTTCACCTGTGTAAAATCTATGGAATTATGCACTTAAAAGTCCAAATTCAAAACTTGAGGGTGGAATATTACCATAAGTTGCCTTTTTTTTTATTCAAGGCCTTTTTAAAACGCATTGTTACTCAAACGAAATCAATGAATTCAATCGGTGAATTTGATTCCCATGTCACTCCTCATTTTCACTTGTATAAANAAAATCTATGGAATTATGCACTTAAAAGTCCAAATTCAAAACTTGAGGGTGGAATATTACCATAAGTTGCCTCAAGGCCTTTTTAAAACTCATTGTTACTCAAACGATATCAATGAATTCAATCGGTGAATTTGATTCCCATGTCACTCCTCATTTTCACTTGTATAAAAATAATTCATTTTTAAGGATTATTTTTGTAGATGAACAATGCCATTAGAATCTGATTTGGAGACCTAATGCACCGTTTTCATTTGATTANGTATAAAAATAATTCATTTTTAAGGATTATTTTTGTAGATGAACAATGCCATTAGAATCTGATTTGGAGACCTAATGCACCGTTTTCATTTGATTAGTAGCCTACAATATTATTGGACAAGGTCACCAATTATTCCAAGAATAATAATCTATTAAATCCCCAAATTATTTGATTCTGATATTGTGTACATAACGTAATTATCTGTTTTTGAAATACGACAATTTTCTATAGNTGTCATTCATCTTTAAGATGAGTAGATCAACTATGCAGAGCTTACAAGCTAACTAATTACTATGTACATTGTCAAACTCCAGAGGATGCCTGTGTGGTGGAGATGGTATTCTTGGGCATGTCCAGTTGCTTGGACATTGTATGGTTTGATTGCATCGCAGTTTGGAGATATAAAGGAAACCCTGGACACAGATGTAGCAGTTGAAGACTTCTTGAGAAGTTACTTTGGTTTTAAACATGATTTTGTTGGAGTAGCTGCAGCCGCTGTTGCCGGGTTTGCTGTTCTTTTCACATTCATCTTTGCGTTTTCCATCAAGGCATTCAATTTCCAGCGGCGATAGGGAGCTTTTAGGAGCACGAGTCGCAGCCATTTCCCCTGAACTTCGGATTCCAAAAATTGTGACTTACCATGTCGAAAGTGGGTTTTATTCCTTGTATATTGTAATGTTTTGAGTTTCTCATTGACACTTTAAAAAGCTGATATTCCTGAAAGCATTACATCACTAAATATGTGTAAGTTGTGTGTTTTTTTTGTTCCTTTTCCTCTTTGAGCTACATATATACTTTGTTGTATGAGAATGAAATTCAATACAAAAGTTCTGTCAAAGTGACATAGGAAACCCCAAAAGCTGAGTTACATATAAAAGTTCTCTCAAAGAATATCAAGTCAAATGGAAGAAAAGAAAAATCTATCTGTGTTTACTCAAATCAGTTTTATACATCATTTAAATACTAATGTTCTATTTGGTACGATGAAAAAATAGGAGAATGAAAAATTGGAAGGAGTGAAAGTTGGGGAAATAAATAAAACATCATATTTGGTAAGGACGAAAAAGTTGATGAATTAACTTTCGTTTCAGCTCACCAAAATCAATCCCTCTAAAATTGGAAGAAAAGTAAATGAAAAATTAATTATTTATGTTGAGATGTATCTTATTTGTCTATATATCTTATGTATACATTAATTTCATATAAAAATATAATGGTAAAATATGTATATATATTTTAAAAAATTTTAAAAATTAATTTTAAAAAAATTAAAAATTAAAAATTAAAATAAAATTTAAAAAATTAAAAAATTTTAAATTTTAAATTTTAAATTTTAAATTAAAAAATATATATTTTTTCCATCTTAACTAAGAGTGAAAATTTTCGACTTAATACGATGACACGATTCGAACTCGATACGAAAATAAATAGGTCAACTCGCAACTCGATACGATACAATTAATTAAATGAGTTAAGTGAGATTTGACTAATATTCGACATAAACTCGCAATGACTTAGCACGACTCGACTCTATTGTCACCCCTAATCTTAGCCAACAAAAAAAAATAGTCATTTTTATTTTCCATCCATCCAACCAAACACGAAAGAAGGAAAGTGTATCCTTCCTACTTTCCATCATCTCTATCAAACGGAGCATAAAATACAGCAGTTCTAAATCATCAAGAAACCCCAGCAAATTAAGAAATTTAAATAAATATTTCAAAAATGGGATAAAAAATAAAAATGCTTAAAAAGTGGCCTAAACATCATTTTTTTGAATTAAAAATGATTGATTAAAATATATATATTTCAATCTTGCTCGGCTCGTCGAAAATTTTTCGGACTGGAATTTTAATAAATTTTTTGATACTATCGTCCAAAATTAGTTCCGAACAATGCTGTTTTAGAGGGTCTTGATTCATCAAAATCAGTCCCGATGCTCACTTGAACTTCAACAAGCATTTCTAATTATCACGTCAGAATAATTTAAATAATAGGGTTTCAACGTTTCAAGGTCTCAAATTTGAGTATTTTGAGGTACACCTTCCTCGACTCTATGCGTGTGGTTTGTTGGTACTTACATACACCCCAAAATTATAATAAAACAAATGACACATGATTAAGATATTTCTCAGTAATTAAAGAAAATATTCTATTGCCACACTTTGAAAGCAGACTTATTTTAGTGTGCAGTTAGTTTAATTATGCACATATAATTAATAAGAAAAAAATAGTTTAATGTACAAAACTTTCACCTGTGTAAAATCTATGGAATTATGCACTTAAAAGTCCAAATTCAAAACTTGAGGGTGGAATATTACCATAAGTTGCCTTTTTTTTTATTCAAGGCCTTTTTAAAACGCATTGTTACTCAAACGAAATCAATGAATTCAATCGGTGAATTTGATTCCCATGTCACTCCTCATTTTCACTTGTATAAAAATAATTCATTTTTAAGGATTATTTTTGTAGATGAACAATGCCATTAGAATCTGATTTGGAGACCTAATGCACCGTTTTCATTTGATTAGTAGCCTACAATATTATTGGACAAGGTCACCAATTATTCCAAGAATAATAATCTATTAAATCCCCAAATTATTTGATTCTGATATTGTGTACATAACGTAATTATCTGTTTTTGAAATACGACAATTTTCTATAGCATTTTTCAATTTTTTTCTCCGAAGGTAGTATTCACCAATCTACTATAATTTTATAAAACTATGATTTTTGTTCATGCTTTTCAATGTAAAAATGTGGGTTTCAAACACAATTTTAATGAATATATACTTTATATAATAAAACATCTAGCAACTTAAATTTTTATCACCTACATATTTTTTTTTCCACAAAAATATCACATTACTCATTTCTATCACATGTTCAATTATTTAATATTTGATTAATTTATAATTTAAAACAATTTTTTTTGTTGATATTGTCCATACACGATAATGTACATATGTTGAGAAAATTTTGTTAAATTACGTATTTTGAAAAAAATTTATCATTTTTTTTAAAGAAAATAATGGGTAAAAATTAATTTTAAATGATGTAATCAAAGAAAAGAAAGAAAGAAATTATTATTTAATATAATGAGATCAATTTTTTGGGCACTCAAATTTTACATTTCATTATGCCTTAAAGCACGGGTTATGACTAGTTGGTTAATAAGTTAGACTTAGTGGGTGTTTGATTATACCACTTAAGACTTAAAATTAAATATTTTAAATATTTAATAAATTAAACTCGTTTGATAACTTAAAACTCATACTGCTTAATATTTAAAGCATTTCTAAAAAATAAACTAAAATTTTAAGTAACAAGTCATCTACTTATCACTTAATACTGAAAGTATTAGTTACTAAAGATTTTATTAATTTCTCATAATGGACAAATATACCCTCATCACCACTTTGTCATTGCCACCACCACCAACACTATCACCACCACCACCACCATTGTACCACTGCCACCATCACCATTACCACCACCGCTACGATCACTACCATTATCATCATTGTGCCACTGTCACCACCACCACCATTGTTGCTACCACCACCATTACTACTATCTAGGGGTGCAACTAGGGTGAGTTGGGCCGATCGAGAGGTCAACTCTAACCCAATTTTAAGTATATAATTTTNATTGTTGCTACCACCACCATTACTACTATCTAGGGGTGCAACTAGGGTGAGTTGGGCCGATCGAGAGGTCAACTCTAACCCAATTTTAAGTATATAATTTTCAACTCTAACCCTATATCAACTTGAGGTACTCAACTCGAATATTGCCCGAGTTTAATTCGGGCGAGTTTGGGTTGAATTCAGGTTAAAAATCGGGTTGCTTGAGTTACTTAATTCAGGTTAATTTTTTGAAATATACATTTGATTTTTTTATGTGTAGATCTGATTTTTTTCAAGCAATTTGAGATGAAGAGTGAGGTGCAAATGAAGAGAGAGGGATGAGTGACGAGTGAAAGAGGGAGATTGAGAGTCTGAGAAGACTCAGACGAGTGACGATTGAGAGAGGGAGGCTAAGAGATGGAAGAATGACGAACGAGAGAGGAATATGAGAGTGATGGAGATGCAAGGGTAAAAACTTAAAGTGAAGTAAAAGTCTAGACTCTAAAGAGTGAAGACAAATACTATCTGGATTTTAAAGAATGAAGACAAATATTAACCTTAATTAAATATATTTATATATTTATGTATATTCGGGTTCAACCTAATTTTAATATTCGAGTTGAACCTGACAATCTGAAACTTGTCCAAATTCAATTCGGGTTAGAATTTTTTTGCCTAGGCCCAACCCAAGTATTAAAAATTATAACATAATCCCTGTTTTTTTCGTATTGGTCTTGTGTTGAATTCGGATTGGCCTGCCCAAGTTGAACCCGTACTACCACCACCATTGCCGCCACGACCATCACTACCACCACCATTATCGCCACCACCATCACCACCATTGTATTGCCACCACCATCACTACTATTATGTCAATGCCACCACCACCACCATTATCGCTACCATCACCACCACCATTGCGCCACAGCTATCACCACTACCACTACCACTACCATTGCCATCACCAACCATTGTCACCACCACCATCGCTACTACCATTGTGTCACCGCCGCCACCATCACCATCATTATCACCACCACTACCATTGTACCACCGTTGTCATCGCCACTATCACCATTGTGTTGTTGCCTCCATCACCACCATTGTCGCCATTTCTACCACCACCATTGTGACGGTAGTGATAGGAATAAGATAGTTTCGGAGAGATGATTAAAGAAAATTACAAAATTAGAATAATAATAATTTTCAGACTTCAGTTCCTTATATTTGTCAAACAATTTGATTAAATTCAATAGTTAAATTTCAGTTGTTATCAAACAGTTTACGAATTAAAAAATTTAGCATTCAACATTTAAAATTCAATATTCAATTTTTAGTATTGGGCTTTCAGTTTTATCAAACACCACCGAACAAAGTAATTAATTATATTTACCTTTATGCTCCCTAGAAATCTCTTTATTTTCAAAGCGGCCATACTAACTATTTACTTTTTTCGCCAAAATCTTCACACAAATTGCAAATAGAGAGACATAAGAAACATCCGTATTCTTTTTCCCACTTCATCCAGCAACCATGGCTCTATCATAGTCATAGTTGATTGGACACACATTCAGGTTCTACACACGCCGAGATAATTGATGACAAACCCAGATAATTTTTCAGTTTCCTGCTGGGTTTAATGCCAAGAATTCGATTCTTTTACTTTGGGCACATGATATGTTCGATGAAATGACACTGACCTTTTCATCATGTTCTGATCATTGATGAATGAACTGTCACAAAAGATTTTCGATGACAATTATATAGTTTTTGATGTTTAAATTTATTGATAGATAAGCTGGGCAATAGTAAGCAGTGAGATTCAAAAAGTAAGGCTAATCAACCATAATGATATAATTCTGGTAGTAGTAGCCATGAGGCACTCTAGAGAATCAATGAACAGAAAAATTGTGTGTAACCCTGACAATACTTTCAGATACTAA